CAGATTGTGAGAGTCCCTTCTTCCATGTGTCATCTGCCATTGCCCTGGTCTCAGAGAGAAAGAAGAGCAGCCAGGGACAGCTCCATTGTGCCTTGGCCTCAGCAGCTGTGAGAATCCCTCCCTGCATTTCAGCAGCTGTTGTTTTGGCCTTTGAGGGAGAGAAGAGCAGCCAGAATCTTTTTGGAGTTAACCCCCTCCCTCAGTGATATTCCCTTTTCCTTATGTGTCTTGTCTTATTTAGATTGTAAGCCTGAAAGCAGAGAGTGATCGAATTAATGATTTGTAAGAGCCAACGTGGCATAGTAGTTTGAACATTGGACTGCGACTCTGGAGACCAATGTTTGATTCCCCTCTTGGCTATGAAACCCATGGTGTGACCTTGGGCAATTGACACTCTCTCGGCCTCAGGGGAAGGCAATGACAAACCTCCTTTGAACAAATCTTGCCACTTGCCTTAGGGTCATCATACGTTGGAAACGACTTGAAGGCACACAACAACAACAAAGACACTTTGCAACTTACAAAGAATTAAAAGGACAACTTTTTGTCTGATAGACAGAGTAGAAATCGTCTAAATAAATACTGGAATTTAGGCAAAGAACACTGGGTTTCTTGAGTTCTTAAGATAAACTGATCTTGTTTAAAAATTGCAAGCTGCAGAAGTGTATGACATGGAAACCAACCCACGCCTTCTGCAGGCACAGCAGAAAGCATCAGCAACATCCTCCTCAGGATTTTTCCCTGCCTCTCTGTAAGCAGCAGTCGGTGTCTGGAGCTTAAGGCAAAATCAGCAAGGTTTTAATTTAAACTCATTTAAGGACTGCATTCCAAGCTGGCACATCATCAAACCTATGAGAGGGGCAAATTAGGCTTCCAAACCAGTTTATTATAATGTGTGTGTTGCAGCAATGTGGCTGTAACCTCTCCATCCCACGCCTCAAACTTTGGAATTTCCTTTCTGAAAGAGTCTAGTAGGAAACTTCTCTCTTTTCTTGTTGTTTTGTACCTTCAAGTCATTTCTAACTCCTATCACGGGGTTTTCTTCCCAAGTTTCTTCAGAGGGGGTTTGCCATTGCCATCCTCTGAGGCTAAGAGAGTGTGACTTGCCCAAGGTCTCCCAGGGGCTTTACATGGCCGAGCTGGGATTCGAACCCTGTTCTCCAGAGTCTTATAGTCCAACATTCAAACACTACACCATGTTGGTTCTCTCTTTACTGTGTTTTAATAAGGAATGCAAGACCATTCTGTCTTTGTCAGCTAGCATTGGGCACAACAACAAATAAAGAGGATTATGGTGATCATGGAGGATATGGTACCCAGTCACCTGGGCAGTGCCAGCTGGAGTTCTTCCAGGAGCCGTAGTCTCAGGAAAGTAATGTTTCCAAACATTTACCCTGGACTATGGCCCTCCCTGTCTCTTCTCTTTCCTGCTGCTCTTGTGCCAGCTTCCACAGAGAGCCCTCTGGATGCTTTTTGGATAGGCACAGCTTTCCGCCCTGCCTGGTCGAGAGCCCTCTCAATGCTGCCTGTGCACTTGTGCATAAATAAGTCATAGAGAGCTTGGGACACAGCCTGGCTCTTTGTTCCCTTTTGGTGGCAGGGGAAGAATGATCTACTGTTCCTCTCCAGCCTGCACTTCTTCCCTGGCTTGGCACTGAACCACTGGCGCCAATTAAAAATGAACCAGTAAATCAACCCATGGACAGGCTCCTTTGGTGGAGTGTGTTCTGCAAATCTGCAACCCAGCTTGAGGAGGCCGGTGCTCAATGGTTAAATTCCCACCCCTCCCAGCTCCTCCTCTGCCACATTGCTTTTTACTGCCCACATCCAAGAGAAGGGTGGCTTTTGCAGCAGTTTCTGTCATTCCCCCAGGAGCAGCCCAGCCTGCCTGCCTTGCTTGCTTATCTATTTGTCTTGGATTGCAAAGACATTCCCTTCTTCCTCCAGGATGAAGGCTTCTTTGGCAGCTCTGCTGGCAGCCCTGCTCTGTGTGGAAAGAGGTAAGGAGGTGAACCGCTTTTGCTCATCCTTTTGACAAGCAGGGAAAGAAAGGATGCAGGAGAGCATCCTTCCGGAGGGGGCTCAATAGGGGAGAGAGGGGACCAGTCCAAATGCCAGGGTCACCTTGGTCCCTCATCCATATTATTTCTCATCTTGTGTGTAGCGCATGAGCTTCTTCCAAGGAAAGAAGCTGGGAGGGGAAGC